GCATCTGTGTGTAAAAGTCTCTGTGTGTAAAAGTGTTTGTATGTAAAAGCGTCTGTGTGTAAAAGTCTCTGTGTGTAAAAACGTCTGTGTGTAAAAGTGTCTGTGTGTAAAAGTGCTTGTGTGTAAAAGTGTTTGTGTGTAAAAGCGTCTGTGTGTAAAAGCGTCCGTGTGTAAAAGTGTTTGTGTGTAAATGTGTTTGTGTGTAAAAGCGTCTGTGTGTAAAAGCGTCTGTGTGTAAAAGTGTTTGTGTGTAAAAGCGTCTGCGTGTAAAAGCGTCTGTGTGTAAAAGTGTTTGTGTGCAAAAGCATCTGTGTGTAAAAGCGTCTGTGTGTAAAAGTCTCTGTGTGTAGAAGCGTCTGTGTGTAAAAGCGTCTGTGTGTAAAAGCTCTGTGCGTAAAAGCGTCTGTGTGTAAAAGCGTCTGTGTGTAAAAGCGTCTGCGTGTAAAAGTGTCTGTGTGTAAAAGTGTTTGTGTGTAAAAGCGTCTGTGTGTAAAAGCGTCTGTTTGTAAAAGTGTTTGTGTGTAAAAGTGTTTGTGTGTAAAAGCGTCTGTGTGTAAAAGCGTCTGTGTGTAAAAGCTCTGTGTGTAAAAGTCTCTGTGTGTAAAAGCGTCTGTGTAAAAGCGTCTGTGTGTAAAAGCTCTGTGTGTAAAAGTGTCTGTGTGTAAAAGCCTCTGTGTGTAAAAGCGTCTGTGTGTAAAAGTGTTTGTGTAAAAGCGTCTGTCTGTAACATTACGAAAGATACGATGCAAACTATTGTCTTGTACTTGTCATATATTGTCTTGATACTACTCGTCTCGTCTGCCTATAATACATCTTTAATATATTGTCTTGTAATTTAGTGTCTCCATACTAACAACAGAAGACTCTGCTCCTCTACGCTCTTGGGCCATCCGTCGTCTAGTTTTCCGGTTGGTCATGGTCGGTCTTTAAGACTTGAGCAATTACCACACCAAACAGCCACCCACTGTTTTTTTAACACTCTCGCTGTTGTGGTCGGTCTTTAAGACTCGAGCCTATATAATAACTACCGCACCAAACCACCACCCATTTTTTTCTTTTGACACTCTCGCTGTTGATATTTAAACTTGAGCCTGAAAACTTGAGCCATCTTAGTCATAAAATCTAGATGCCCTTTTCCTTTGTAATTCTTAGTCAGCCAGCAACCAGAGCCAAGCACATGACATACTTGAGCCAAGTAGTACTTAGACAAAAGTGCTGTGCCTGCCACGCAAAACCTCGCGCAGAGAAGAGAAACAACTTCAAACCAAAAAAAAGCATATGGACATATGAATTAACAACGCCAAGTAAAAGAGTAGGAAATGGTTTAGGAAGACGCTACACAGGAATAGGAAATGGTTTGGAAAGGCGCTACATTATGCTAAATTTTGCTGCTAAATGCTAAATTGGTCTTTTCTTTCATATACTTTGATCCGTGTTTAGTAACCTTTGAGAGCAATTTGCCTTTCTACTCCTGTGTGCACGCAACATCACGCAACATGCTACAACGCATGTCTTCAACATGCCTTGCACATCTTCATTACTGGTTGATCACATGTTGGGCTTGACTCTATCATCAAACAGGCAGCATCCTCAACAGAAGCAGCTCCAAAAACAGCTCAACAGGAACCAAAGGACACCTCGGCGGTTCTGCTGCTGCTTTTGAGGTATACTCCGAGCCCTCATGAGCTACACTATGAGCCACAAGCAGACGACTCAACTGGGCCTGCCGTGCAGCCATCTGAATTGAGAACGAGCCAAGTAGCTGAGCCTTCAAACAATCTGCAGACCTCGTCTCTTGCGACAAGGACCGCCCAAAGCCTGGAGCAACCTGGTTTTTACTCTAATTGTAGTCCTTCTCTGTGTGGGCTTCTTTGGAAACTTCGCCCAACAAGCCCACCAGACCAACCACTGACATCAAGGGGAAGAATCAAGAAGCCAAAATAAGCCAATTACAGGCTGAATATATATATATATGTCATGTCTTTCTTGACCAAGGTCTACTCAAAAGGCCCCCCACAGACTTTGGATAGAGTCACCCCACTGGCTGGCAATGCTAAAGGACAACAAAACTGATCCTTCATGTTGATTCATTTTCAACCGTCAATCGGATTGGCGGCGGGTTCCCCCCGGACCAAATCAATCGCCGACCAGCCAGCTGAAGGCACAAGACTCAATTAAGCAGTTCATACTTCGATCAAAAATGGTCTCCCAACTCACGTGGAGGAGTAGTTGGCAATGAACGAGGCGTTGGTGTCTGAGATGAAGGGTGCAACAAGAAGACGAGATGGTGCCGGTTGCACATTACCACCCATGTTTCGGCCATACTCCAACAAGTCTGCGCACATACGGTCCATGTTCTGTGCCGACAGAATGCAGTACTCTCGATCCACGTGCCATGTCACTTCGGCTGGAGAACATTTGTAATTGTCGTAGGACGTACCGGTGGTGGAGCCAATGTACACAATTGAGTCTCTGACTGGTTCGCGCCAGGTCTCGTTGAACATTTTGTATTCTTGTTCTGGCCAGTTCACGATGCGACAGATCTGTCCTCGCACAAAGGCCGTTGGATTTATGGATCGATTGAAGACACCACCCAAGCCGCCCGACAAAACCCCGTCAATGGGCCCGGCCGTGGAATGGACCCAGTGAAACTCATAGGTGTAGCCCATCTTCACATTTTTGCAAGATGTCCAGTTGTAATCATCCAAGGTCCAGCTGACATTGGTTGGTGGTCCCTGGTCCACCGAAGCGCAAAAATATCCTGGGCGGATGTCATTCGGAACGATATCCCCAAGCACGGCATCGGTATAGTTGAGGGAATAGCCCCCATCATCCACGTTTTGGTGTTCACCACCCAAGTGAAAGTGCGTGTTCACGTGGATCAGATTGGGGAACTCATCGTACAAACCTCGGAAATGATTCCAAACTCTTCCAACACATTCGATGGATTTCAACTCACAACAGCGTTGAACAACAGTTGAACTGAAATCTATAGGTACTGGATGTTCTTTCCAATTCTAGTTTTACGATGTTTTACGGCATTAATTACATGCTCTTCACGGAACAAAACTTTGTGACTTTGTGTGATTCATCCAGGAACCGACGGGCTGCACTTCCGGAGGCAACAATCCACGAAATCTTTACTCACGTTGCGTGGCGACTGCGGCTCTGAGTTGGAGCAAGGATAGCGTGGAGGCGCCGGGGGGGAGGAGGAGCTGGGTGACTCTCTCGACGTGAGTCAATGATCTTCTTCTTGACCCACCATGGAAGACCCTCATTCAACTCATTGAGCTCATCACCCGTCATCTCTCCTTGGCTAAGAAGTTTCAAGGCTTAAGACTCTCGCACCAAGCTCAAGGAAGACATCTGAACACAATCAACAAAGAACATTACCATAATCAAAAGAAGTATGTCCGAAAGCAAGTTCACCTAAAATAATCTAAAAGAAATGTCTGATATGTATTGATATGGCTGCTGCAAACACAGATTCAATCGAATAATCGGCTTTATATTGATTTATGCCTTTCTTGATTGCCAATCCTCCAAGGGGCCCTTGTTCACACAATAGGCAGCTGTAGCTGGAGAACTACAAAGAACACATTTGAAGATCTCCTAAGATCGCTAAGATCTCCTAAGATCTTATAAGATCTTCTATCATATCCTAAGATCTTCAATCATCGTCCTAAGATCCCCTAAATTTGGTTTGAAATTATGTTTGATCCAGGTCTCGGTGATTGAGCTGCATCAGAGTCGAGCTCTCCTCCTGACAAGTCTCCTCTTGACAGGCCTGATCCGCAAGCGCCTGCATCATAAGAACCGCGAGAATGCCGAGTCTCCCAGAATACTCCGAGAATCTGACAATTCGAAAGGATCCGAAAGGGCCTACCTGTTGAGCCGGGCACTGCAGTATTAAACACAATGGTGCTCAATGGTGCTCACTCCTCGACTCGGCTACACTGCGACACTACAACTGACTCTCGGAAACCAATGCTTCTCGAAAACTGATAGCGACAATTATTTTTTCCTGGTTTGGAGAGATACAGTATCTAGAATCTCAATAATGGTTCCAGGATGAATTCAATCGATTTCCAACTTGTGACTGTGGACACAAGATGCACAATCCGTCCAGAGTCTGGGTATTGGCGGCACAATTTACCTCTCACTTGCTTGTCGTTTTGTTGCGTTGCGCCGAAAGGGAGCTAAACTGAAACCACGTGGACAGTAAATCTGCTGTGTCCTCACCTTGGAAATACTGTCATGATCTTCCATGCCAAACAGCTGGGACAGTGTTTGAAGAAATGCATGTCGAGCCAAATTGGGACCCTCTCAAATCTGTTGTTGCATAGCTGCTAAGCAATTTCACTGCACCATCTCCTTGGCTCAAATTTTGGATACCGATCATCCCGATGCACCTTCAAAAAAACAAATCCAGAAGACATCAGAAGACTGTGTAAATTGGGCATTTTGGTGCAAGTCGTGCAAGTCGCACTTCCAACGGTCCGTGATTATCCCTTGTCCAGGACTGTCGCTTAACCAAGGTCTTGAACACAGCTGCATCATGACCTGCCCATACCCATCCTGGATTCCAGTTGCCACTGTAGCAAGTATCACTGCGGAATCACCACCCCTCTCTTGGAGGTTGCTGTTTGCCTGCTGTATGGTGGATCTCCTGGATCCAGTGGGTTAGTTTATGTACAAAACAGGAACTTCCACAGCGTTGTTCAGCAGGTGAACTGTCAAAGATGACTTCCTGAGGTCCGGGGGAAGGCTGAACAAGGGCTGCAGCTTCTAGATGTTTGGTTCATAGCACAAGGTGGATTGAAAGTCACGGCTGGAATGTCCGTCCAGGATGTATTTGTTCAATGCTTCTGTACATCACAAAACTGAACCATAACCATCCATAACCTAGAGGTTGCAGTATGATGCAGACTTTCCAGTCAACAAGTCCAAATCTGGTTGGTGGTTTCTATCCTGGACGAAAGTCAGGTTGAAAGTTGAGACTAGCAGCCACAAATGGATCCTAAGCAGAGACGGGAACTTGGAAGTTGAATGGAATTATTGACTGCACTCCCAAAAGTCAAACATCTATCTCTCCATTTCTCTTTGGGGACCTGTTGCATATGTTTTTCGGGCCTCGCAACCCCGCCCAGCTGGCCCTTGCCGAGGTGCAGGACACCCATCACCGTGCGACCCTTCATGAAGTTTTCAACCCAACCTTCAAGCGGCTTCGAGGATCTTCGAGGTGACCAAATCCCATGGTTTGGGACGGGCACATCTTGCAGATTTTCGCCCACTTGAAAAGTGACAGGAGCGAAGAAAAACAGTGACTCTGTTGTTTGGGTTCGGTTCGGGTACAATTTACTTACCATCAATGTTTGATTGGCCAAAAGTCAGTCAAGTACCTCCAAAAAATGTGTCCGTAGGTCTTTAATGGAAAATCGAATATGTTGAGGTTGAATTTTGATTTTTTTTTCCCCGTTTTGTTGGAGTATCCACAAGTTTCCGCTATAAGATCTCCCCACCTTGTCCCCTCAAACATCTTCAAACCCCACAAAAGTCCCAGGATTGGGCAGGATTGCACATCTTTTGGTGTCCAGGAACTGCCAATGCCCGGCATTGCTTTGGTACCGGCCACCAACACCTCAGCATCAGCTGCAACATCAACCAATCATCAACCATTGCGATCCTTTGTTTCGCAAACTTTGATACTTCCCAAACCTGAAATGGAAGCAAATTGGGGATTAATTCTCTCCAAATCAAATCCGACCTGGCCACCATCTCCTGCAGTGAAGGTACGTCGCACTTATTCCCGATCGCCTTGTCCAACAGCTGTTCACCCAATTGCTGACCTGGAAGAACCTGGAACCCAAGGGCACCATAGGGCCATAGGATGCCAGAGGATGCCATAGGGACTCCACTGCTATGCCAGCATCTGGGGAGGCACCAAAGATCATGAACCCAAGGAAACCACCAGAGCCCCAATGGAGGGCTACCTTCGATGCATTTTGACAAGTGACAAATTCAGCCAACATAAACAAACCAAGTGACAACATGTGACGCCCTGCAACACAAGGCGGATCGTCTACCCGGGCATTTTAGGGTAAGAAATCTGATCCGATGTGCAACCGGGGAAAGAATGCAATTACACCGGCAAGAGGCCCGAAACAGTGTGGGGAATGGGATCGGATGGTAATGTGGTAGGGAAACTGACAACCTGCATGTGACACAGTGAAACGCATATTTTCCACTCGCGCGCACGAGGAGTGAAGCAGAACCCGATGCACACCAGAGGTTCTGGATGCCAGCAAGGCAGCGCAACGGGCACAATGAGGAACAACACCCTGCGCGGAACTGCAATGGAAAGGGCAAGAAGAACTTTGGCAAAGGCAATGTTTCGGCTGAATGCGTTGCCACTGTCGTGGGTCTCCAAAAGACGTTTCGCACCTACGACGGTGGCAAAGCATGGCTGCGGACTTTGCAGATGAGCGCGCAACCGCAGCTCTAGTTCAGTGCTGGCCAATGCTACCTCTATATGTGCTTGGCCAAGGAACAGCAAGGTGTAGCCAAATGGATCGGTTGGATGGCGAGCATGCACTTGCAACCAAGAACCCGGCAGCATGCCACAGTCTTGGCACACATCGCCTTGGGCCATTGAGTGATCTCCAGGACATAGTGGCGGAGCTTCTGGCACTTGCAACGCGCAGACTGAAAGACGCAGGCGGAATATTCCGTCTCATAGTATACTTTCCTGATGCCATGGCTGCTTCTTTGGGTAACTCCCAATGAAGACTACGCCCTGGGTTCTCGCGGACAGTGGCACCTCCCCGCTGCACCAGTGCATGGATCTCGTCCAAGACAAAGTCCGCGGCCTTGCTGTCTCGTTGAACTCGGGGCGCAAGTTTGGGAGCCCCTCTGGATGGCATTCTGAGCGGAGCGGCTTGGGTCATGGTCTGCCATCGTCAAAATGAACAGGGATTTGTCTGGCCCGTGATTTAGTGGAGCAGTCCAGTGCTGCCATAATACAGTCGACCCCTTGCAGCTGGTCATGGAGGGACTGCTGTCCGGCACTGTTGCTCAAGTCATGAGTTGGATCCAACGATGTCGATTGGAATCACTTTCCAACCGCACCATAGCAACGCCTTACTGACAGGAGCTCCAGGGCCGCTCATGATGTCAGCTGCCAAGGGCGGGGGTGGAAGCTTTCATGGAAACTCGACCCCTGAAAAGGCTTTCCGCCTCCTCTTCGGGGCCGCATCAATCCTTGATCACGGCGCGGCACATATGGGCGCTACAGGTGATCCGCAGACCCTGTCGCCTTTGGTGACTACTCCACACCTGTGGGCCCCATTGGTGCATTTGCCTTTTTGCTTGCAGTCACCTCATTGAAAGTTCTGGCATAGAATCGTGCCGTCGCGCATGACCTTTGCGACCCGCTTGCCGTTGATGGCCTTACCCGCCACGAACTTGCTAGGTGAAGTCGACGTAGGAGTCGTCCTGCTCGGTATAATTGGTGCTCCTGCATTGGAGGCCCCAGTGGGCTCACTGCCGACCAGCGGAATACAATGGGCGTCCCTGGCCTGGAAAACCTCTTCGATGATGACCCCCAAAGTCTGCGTGCTCTCTCGGAATCTCGACGTCCACTCGGCACGCTCTTCCTGGTCCCGGGCCTGCAGCCATGCCATTCTTTTGCCCGAAACCAATAGCTCATGCAGACGTCCAAAGGCACCGCTGAGTACTCCAGCCCCCAAGGTGGCCTTGGTGGTGTCAGGCGTTGTCCCCGCACAGGAGGGGCCACCCCAGCAATTGCGTAGGCCAGGAGCAGGGTGTAGAGACGATCCAAGTAGGACTCCACGGTGTGCTGGCATGGTTCGTCCTCGTCCACTTCCTCAGTTGACAAGTTCTCCCCCAGCTTGCGCTTCTTCTGATTGGTTGTCAACTGAAATTGCAGTGTCTTGACCTTCCACAGGTTGAAGACGCACCGCATGCGCTTGGAGAGTTCCCTACCCACCCTCGAGACAGTTGTATCTGCTGGGCGCACTTCTGTCGGGAACTTCAAGCCGTAGCGCCGAAAAGCAGCTCATGCTCGTCGAGCATGCTATCATATGCTATCCAAGTCTGCCGCGCTGACCTTAGACCGGTCTTGTTTGGCCGTTTGATAAAACAGGGAGACTGCTACCCAGGCTCGCCTCAGCCTAGCAATCTGCACCATCTTATCATCGGTCACTCCGACTTTCGTCACACAAGTTTCCACCTGGGCTCCATCATGAGAGAAAAACCGAAATTCCTCTAGATTGGCAATCTTTTCTTTGATGAGCCCTATACCGATCACGTCATCAAGGTTAAAGTTCTTCCCTAGTGCCGCTAGGGAAAGTTCCCCCTCTAGGTACCAACCCTGAAGAGCTCATACGGGTCACTCCCGAATCCTGCCCCCTTCGGTACCCCCGAGCAGTCCTACGCTATCTTGAGCAAAGGCTGCAGGGTACACACCTGCATGCGGTCACTCAGCTCGCCAATCATATGATTGTGATCCCCCCACAACACTTGTGGACTCGGACACCCCGACTGTCCCGCCAGCACATCATGCACACCACTCACTGGTTCCCCCCCAGGAAAAAGAAAAACATCAATGAATCGTGGATCAACCTCCCACATCCCGGAACTCTGGCTCATGTCTTTCCGCACACAAGCTGTTAATCCGAGGATCTTGATCACGTCAAGAATGAATTGACATTGTACCAGCTGGCTCTGGATGAATTGAAAGTTTGTGAGAGAGGATCGGAGGGCCGCAATTACCCCCATAAATGCACGCCTCTCTCTGCTCTTAGCCTACCAAAAAGAAGGGTCACCTGGTTTCAGGTGACCCTGTTTGCCCTGCACAAAAAGGGGTTCACTCTGCCCCATGGGCGGCCCCAAGGCCACGGCTTCAGCCCAGTCCTCTGTGAACATGGGGTCAGTGAGGCGTGCCGCTTTGTCTGCCCTTTGGTGGTGCATGCACAGTGGAACCAACTTGAAGCCCTCCACATGGAGTGTGCTCCTGGTTTGCCAAGTAGCCGTCACGCCGTTCGGTGGCCCTGGTCGTCTCCTGTAACCACTTTGCCACCACCTTGTCACGGCAGAAGCCTGAGATGTCGGTGTCGCGCCTCTGGGCAATCCAGGCCGATGCTTCTTCAAAGGTATCCCCCATCAGAACCGCGCGGGTCAGAGCTGTAGCACCCGCTGCGCGGTGGCGACCCGCGATGCAGTGAATCACAATCACTTCGCCACAGTAGACTTAGAGTGACTGCAGGATGAGCGGCCACAACTCCTTCCACGCCTCAGTCCTCTCCATCTCCACCGCAACCGGGAATCATCGAAGGAGCGCGTTGGGAAACACCACACCTCCTCGGTCTTCTGGGCGCTCCCCTGAGGGTCCAGGGATTGAATTTTTGCAATCTGAGTGATAAATTCAATAATTATTGATTTTTTTTCAATCCGGATTGAAAATCCAAAATTATTGAAAAATCAATATCCAGTTCAATAATTTTCGAAAAAAACAATAATTATTGAAATGGATATTGAAAAAAAACAATAACTATTGAATCTTTTGGCCATATAGAAATTCAATAATTCTTGATTATAGTTGTTGCTGCCAGAAAGCAATATGCACATCTTTTTGCTCATAATGCAACCACTGGTGACACAGAGGAGACATGATGTATGTATCAAAGCATGGCCTTTTTGAAGGCCTCCAGCTTGCCTTTGGCCTTGTGCTTGGTCCTTTTTCAAGCCACATATCTTGCCTGGCTTTGTTTCAAGCACCTGGCTGGCCCAAGGTCATGGCATTGGCTTTATCGCAAGCCACCCATTTGGTGGAGCCTGAGCTGCAGGCCTAGCAAATACTTTTCACAAAAGCTCTCTGACAGCTTTGTGTTCTTGGTTCCATGGCTGCAAGAATGAGCCACTGTTGCCATGCTGCCTACCCAAAATTCTTTGCCTGCTGGCTTTGTTTCAAGCCCCTCCTGCTTCTTTTCTGGCTTTGTCTCAAGTTTGTCATCTTTGCCTGTTGGCCTTGTTTCAAGCCCCTCCTGCTGCTCTTCCGGCTGTGTCTCAAGCCTCTCATTCTTGCCTGCTGGCCTTGCTTCACATGCTCTTCCTTTCCTTCCACCCCATCCTGGCTCCCCTTTGGTTGGCAGGCTTGTGAAGCTTCTGCATCCACCATCTCATCTGTGGCCTGAACTTCCTCCTCAGCAGCTTCCTGCTGCAAAGCAAGGGCTGCCATCCCGTCGCTTCCTGGCAATGCCTGGCTTTCTTCCAAGCCACTCCTGGCAGCATAATATTTCTGGAGGGAAGCATAATGCTTTCTCCCATTTTCTGTTCTTTCCTCACTGTCTGGATAGGCTTTCCTACCGTCAGGGCTCCAAGGGAAAGATGGCTCTGCCTCAGCTGCTACAGCTGAAGCTGCAGCCTTTTCATCTGCTGCAGCTGGCTTCTTCATGGCTTTCTTTCAGGCCTCCCTTTGAAATTGTTGTTCCAAAGCTATTTTTTGCTTGAAGCTTCAAAAATGGCTGCAGGGACACACTTTGCACAGCAGTTGGCAACTAAATCTACTACATGCAGCTGCACAAAAGTTTCAAGTGCCAAAGTAAAACCTGATCTCACAGGGGATTTAATAAAGAGAGCTAGAATCACAAACGGGATTTTGTGAAGAATTCTGGCTTCACAAACTCAACTTTGTGAAGGATTTTGTTTTTCTGGCCTTTTTCAAGGCCACCCTTCACAAAGTCCAGTTTGCGAAGGGTTCTGGCTTCAAAAAGTCAAGTTTGTGAAGGATTTTGCCTTCATAAAGTCCAGTTTGTGAAGATTTCTGGCTTCACAAACTCAAGTTTGTGAAGCACTCTGGCTTCACAAACTCAAGTTTGTGAAGGACTCTGGCTTCACAAAGTCAAGTTTGTGAAGCATTCTGGCTTCACAAACTCAAGTTTGTGAAGGATTTTGCCTTCACAAATTCACGTTTGTGAAGGATTTTGCCTTCACAAATTCAAGTTTGTGAAGGAGTCTGGCTTCACAAAGTCAAGTTTGTGAAGAATTCTGGCTTCACAAACTCAAGTTTGTGAGGGATTTTGCCTTTACAAAGCCAAGTTTGTGAAGGATTCTGGCTTCACAAACTCAAGTTTGCGAAGGTTTTTGCCTTCACAAAGTCAAGTTTGTGAAGGATTCTTGCTTGGCAAACTTAAGTTTGTGAAGAAATCTGGCTTTACAAAGTCCAGTTTCTGAAGGATTTTGCCTTCACAAAGTCAAGTTTCTGAAGAATTCTGGCTTCACAAAGTCAAGTTTGTGAAGGATTCTGGCTTCACAAAGTCAAGTTTGTGTAGGATTTTGCCTTCACAAAGTCAAATTTGTGAAGGATTCTGGCTTCACATACTCAAGTTTGTGAAGGATTCTGACTTCACAGACTCCAGTTTGTCAAGGATTCTGGCTTCACAGACTCCAGTTTGTGAAGGATTCTGGCTTCACAAAGTCAAGTTTGTGAAGGATTTTGCCTTCACAAAGTCAAGTTTGTGAAGGATTCTGGCTTCACAGACTCCAGTTTGCGAAGGATTCTGGCTTCACAAAGTCAAGTTTGTGAAGGATTTTGCCTTCACAGTGTCAAGTTTGTGAAGGGATTGTGCCTTCACAAACTCAAGTTTGTGAAGGATTCTGCCTTCACAAAGTCCAGTTTGTGAAGAATTCTGGCTTCACAAAGTCAAGTTTGTGAAGGATCTTGCCTTCACAAAGTCAAGTTTGTGAAGGATTCTGGCTTCACAAAGTCAAGTTTGTGAAGAATTCTGGCTTCACAAACTCAAGTTTGTGAAGGATTTTGCCTTCACAAAGTCAAGTGTGTGAAGAATTCTGGCTTCACATACTCAAGTTTGTGAAGGATTTTGCCTTCACAAAGTCAAGTTTGTGAAGGAAGAATCCTTCACAAACTTAAGTTTGTGAAGATATCTGGCTTCACAAAGTCAAGTTTGTGAAGCATTCTGGCTTCACAAACTCAAGTTTGTGAAGAATTCTGGCTTCACAAAGTCAAGTTTGTGAAGCATTCTGGTTTCACAAACGCACGTTTTTGAAGGATTTTGCCTTCACAAATTCAAGTTTGTGAAGGATTATGCCTCCACAAAGTCAAGTTTGTGAAGAATTCTGGCTTCACAGAGTCAAATTTGTAAGGGATTTTGCGTGCACAAACTCAAGTTTGTGAAGAAAAATTGCTTCACAAGTCAAGTTTGTGAAGAATTCTGCCTTTACAAAGTCAAGTTTGTGAAGAATTCTGGGTTCACAAACTCAAGTTTGTGAAGGATTTTGCTTTCACAAAGTCAAGTTTGTGAAGGGTTCTGGCTTCACAAACTCCAGTTTCTGAAGATTTTGCCTTCACAAAATCCAGTTTGTGAAGGATTCTGCCTTCACAAAGTGAGGTTTGTGAAGGATTGTGCCTTCACAAAGTCCAGTCTGTGAAAGATTCTGGCTGCACAAACTTCAGTTTGTAAAGGATTTTGCCTTCACAAAGTCAAGTTTGTGAAGGATTCTGGCCTCACAAACTCAAGTTTGTGAAGGATTTTGCATTCACAAAATCCAGTTTGTGAAGGATTCTTCGTTCACGTGTGTGAAGAAATCTGGCTTTACAAAGTCAAGTTTGTGAAGAATTCTGGCTTCACAAAGTCAAGTTTGTGAAGGATTTTGCCTTCACAAAGTCAAGTTTGTGAAGGATTCTGGCTTCACAGACTTCAGTTTGTGAAGGGCTCTGGCTTCACAAACTCTTCCAGTTTGTGAAGGATTTTGCCTTCACAAAGTCAAGTTTGTGAAGGATTCTGGCTTCACAAAGTCAAGTTTGTGAAGGATTTTGCCGTCACAAAGTCCACAGCCAGTTGGCCAACAAAGCCATCCACTCTGGGTTGTTGTGCTCAGCTGCGGCCGTGACCGCCTCCAGGAATGGGATCATACCCGGCTCAGCCACCACCGCCTGCTGCCTCTTCCTGGTACGTGTGTTGGGAGCCTCAGGGACGCTGACATTCACCAGGTTCCAGTTCATGCAGCTTTGCTGAGCCACTTCAACGACGCAATGGCCATCACTGGGCCGTCAGCGCCTTCTTGCACGAACGTGGCGAAGTCTTCGACGACCTCGAGCCCTCTATCCTCTTGACAGTGCGCCAATTCTTTCCAGGTGCGAATCGCATTCATGATAGTTTGGCTATCAGCATGTGCGACTTTTTGCTGGGCAAGGTGGCGCAGCTTTTGCCATTCTGCCAGGCGATCTTCGGTGACCTGATGGGTCTGGGTCGTACCTGTTGGCAGCCAGGGACGCCTCTGGGTTCCGGCCTTCAGTGGGCTTTGGGACTCTATCGCCACCACTAGAACTCCCTCGTCTGCCTTGGAGCGGGCTGCAACCCACTGCGCTGCCAGCGCAATGTCCACCCGCAGACATTGCGTCCGCATAGCTCGCGAAAGCGTAGGCCAGGTCGCCATCATCTATAAGCCGAAGTGTTGCCGCACCTCGAGAGCCCTTTCCAGGGGGACGTGACCTCGATGGCCTTTTCTGGGTCCCAGACCACTTCCCCCACTGCCTCCAACTAAGACTTCTAAATTTATTTATTTTCACATCAGGCACTTAATGAAAATATTAGTAGTTATCTTAACTTATCATAGAAGTCATTTTTACTTATTTTCACTTATTTTCACTTAATTTAGGTTAATTTTTCATTATTTTTTACTGTTTAAAATTGATAAAAGACGAAAGATGTTTCTGTCATAGGGTTTTGTAAAACATCTTTGAATTAAAAAAAATATAAGAATGTTGCGTTTTCTGTTTTTTGTTTGGATATTTTCATGGTTCCGATTTTATATATCTATGTATATATATATATTTCTGAATATTGCGATTTTTTTCGAATTATCTAAATTTCCTAAATTCTCTGGATTTTCTGAAATTTTTGAATTTTCTGAATTTCAGAATTTTCATATTTTTTTTGTTTTTTTTAATTGTCTGAATTTTCTGAATTTTCAAATTTTCTGAATTTTCTGAATTTTCTGTTTTTTTCTAAATTTTCTGAATTTTCTGAATTTTCTGAATTTTCTGAATTTTCTAAATTTTCTGAATTTTCTGAATTTTCTGAATTTAATATTTATATATATATATATATATCTGAAATTTCTGAATTTTCTGAATTTTCTAAATTTTCTGAATTTTCTGAATTTTCTGAATTTTCTGAATTTTCTGAATTTTCTGAATTTTATGAATTTTCTGAATTTTAGATTTTTTTTAATTTTCTGACTCTTCTGAATTTTTTAAATTTTCTAAATTTTCTGATTTTTTTGTTTTTTCCGACCTTTCAACATTTTCAATATTTTCTTCATTTTCTACATTTTCTCATTTTCAAAATTTTCTGACGTATATACATTAAAAATAATAAATTTGTTACCTTCTGTATGTTTAAGCATTATAAATTTTCTCAGTAAGTTACTTTTCTCCATTTATTTCTATTACAATCTTTTTTTGAGTGGTGTGTATTGTTTCCATGTCCATCAATGTTGAAAACTGACAAAAAACATATTTTTACTTATTTTCGCTTCTTTTCCCTTATTTCAACTTATTTTTGAATAATATTCCACTATATTTACTTATATGTTCATTATTATGTTACAAGTTCACCTAAACGATTAGTGGAACTTAAAACAAAAAAATAAAAAAAAAACAATTTAAACAAGATATTAGCAAGATAATAGCAACTCATAATATACTTATAACTTCATTAAGTGCCTGATGTGAAAATAAATAAATTTAGAAGTCTTAGAAAGCATAGCGCCCTTTGCCGCTCGCCATGCCGCAGCAGCCTAATTGAGCCAGCGCTGAGGGTATAGACGAAGATGAACTTGGTCCGGCACTCTCCCTCATAACCTCCTTGGAAACCCCCAGACAATGACAACCCAATCTCAGTTAGAGTCATCCGACTCCATCCGGCTCCATCCGACTCGCCGCAGAAGGGGCAGAACTCCACTCCGCATCGGCATCCTTCGCAGGCGCCACCACCACAGGTTGGGCACATGGTGAAAGATGGCGTCCAACACAGCCTGCAGGGCCCCGGAATCCAGTGCTCCTCAGCCGCCAGATGCAGGATCCCTGCTGCTATGTTCTCCAGAGCTCGAAGAACTCCTGCATCGTGATTCCGTTATAGGAGAGAGGGCCAACCTGTCCAGCACACAGCGGTTGCGCTCGGGTAACGCGCGAAAAAAGGCTCTGCATGCCAGCAGTTCAAAAACCTCCTCGCAGCCATGGTAGCGCTCCCCAGCCGTCTCGGTCCAAATCCCCACAAAGGGAAAGCCAAAACCTCCCCAACGCGTCTCACACCGTACGCAGACTCCATCCTAGGTGTTCGCAGGACCCTCGGTAACTCCGGAATCCCCAAAACTTGCAGGTTGGTGTTAAACCCATTATGGATGACTTCCACTATCCCACATGCAGGCAGTGCGCCTCGGCGACTCGGCCCAGCGCAGCAGCGACCGCACGTAGTTGGAGAAGTCCATCCATGCTGCGGCATGCAGTATCTCTGCATGCGTGCGCATAGCAACATGTACCCCGGGGATTAGGCTGGACAGTCAGTGCTCAACTCCACTTAGACCAGCTACGTCCCCTCACAAGGAAAACAATGCTGCTGTTTGGGATCAATATGCTTGAGCCAAATTTTGCATTTGTTTCACCTTATTTAACCAACCACCAAGAAATGACCACTGTCCACCCAGGCCTGCCAAACACTAGACATTTATATTATATATATCTCTCTCTCTCTGTGTGTGTAGTTGCTTGCAAGGTTCCCGTAAATCAGCATCTTTGTCGGATTCTTTTCCTCAATCACATTGCCTTCCACTGTCTACCCCACGCTATGGGCGCCTGAATGTGCGTACCCAGCACTTCCTTCACCGATCCACCTAATGAGCACTGAAAAAAGGCACCCGCAAATCCGCAAACCATAGATTGTTCCAGAACAACATGAGCACCATGATCATGGAGCCATCGAAACATAAAAAATTTCTGTGCCAGCGGCAACCCACGCACATTGAATTTCGCTCTTCACTATATCTCTTCATTTCACCCGGATTCAGGCCTCAAGATCAACCCTACGCACTTATGGATGGAAAACATATATCATGCACATATAGTGCTTATTCATTAATCTGGTAAACCCAATAAACCACCCCAATTTGGGTTACCATTGGGTATACCTCTATGACTAGAATGATTTTAAAATGACCCCTAGTCATGGTTGGTTAACGGGATGCTCTGCTGAATTGGGGAATACCACATTCCCACGGCCGCCTCGCAAGATTCCTGCAGCTTCTTGAAAAAGTTCCTTCACACGGCAGGTGATTCGACTCTGCAAGATGCTGTGAGCTTCCGATATCGCCATACATGAAGACACGGCACGGCCTAAACTCCAAGCCACAGTTGGTATTGAAACTGCTCATTGGACAGCTTCTATTCACTCAGGGGCTGAAGCTGTTGCACTCCTGCTGGGGAAGTTCATACCCTTCTTTTTCCGCCAGATGAGAGACAAAATACATTTAAATATCCCCAGGTTCAATAGGCTGCACAGAAGCGATTAAATTCACAACCCAAGCCGCAAACCTTCTAATCCTTGTTCCGAAGATACTTTTAATCCGCAATACCGTTGCAATCCGTGATCCGGGCTACCCATTGTGCAACCATGGAGGATGCTCAGGATCCTGCCCCTATCCCGTGTTAGGTTGGTGGCAGATGACAATGGTTGGCTGAGGATGCTAGACCCTGGCAGACCCTGTCCTCTGAATCCTGAAGAGCCTTCGCCAGTTCCTTTAAGTGGCCGCGGTGTCCCATGAGTCCCGTGGTAACATTTGGAAAATTTTCATGTGGCTAGGAGCAAGAAAACCAGCCACAATTACGCCTGATCAGTTCTATGTATATGATTACATCATATTACATGTACATAGACTTGATTATACATGTGTCTTTTCTATGATATTTGATGGGTTGGGGCATCCATCAGGGACCGAGGAACCTAAGGGCAATATTGTTCGTCATGTTCACTGTTGCAGAATTTGATCCTGGGGTCTATGCCCCAGACCTGATTGGCGCGCTCAATTGATCTGCTGGAGCAAGCATTTGTCCTTTGAATGCCCGTTGTTGTTGGTTGTTTCATCCCCATTTTCACCAATTTGGTCCTCAGTCTTGTCGGTTGTATCCTCACTATCGCTGATCACACCCTGTTTTTGCGTTTGAAAATTGTCAAATTGAGTCATATAGCTAGTTGTATTGTTGATGTAGGCCGTCATAGGTTTTTTTCTTGGTTACAAAATGCTGGTCGCTTCGCGACGACAACCGCCCACACCGGAATTGTTAGCTCTGGGTTGAACCTCTGAATCTACGCTGAAGTCTGCAAAAGTTGATTCACAGGGTTCTGGCCGCGCCCGAGTGAATTTTTGAATTTGAATTGAATATCAGCAAAATTTGGGAAGTGGGAGGCATGTTGGTTTCAAATGCATTGCAACATTTCTTGTGACCTACAGTATGCAGACCCAGATGCTGAGCATAGTTTGGATCAGTTGATGCTTTTTGGGCTATGTATGGTTATGTTGGCATCATGTTTTGTGCGCAAACACTGGTTTGAAAAATACACCGGCAAGAGACCCCAAACACTTTGGGGGGCAGGAAGCCAATGTACCAGATACAACCAACTGTAGCTACGGAACAGTAACAGGTGAGCAGCAGGACCCTCTATATATATCTATACAGACGTCATCACAAGATCTTCATACAAGAACTTCCTACAAGAACTTCCTATGAGCATCCCAGAAGAACTTTCATACAAGCACCAATGCAGACCATCTTCAAGATCTTACTGCAAGAACATCTCGAGGAGGATTTCAACAGGATCTCCACAAGGTCTTCTCACAAGGACCTGAACCAGATCATGTAAGAACACCTAGGGGATTTCACCAGGACCTATTCAAGAGCTTCTCACAAGGACCTGCACAAGATCATGCAAAGGCCTCTGACTGCATGTCACTAAGATCTCCACTAGGTCTTCTGACCAAGATCTTCATGCCGGGACCCCTAAGAGAATCTCACAAGATCGTCATAGACTGACCCTGCTGCTGGAGCGGATCTTACAAGGTCTTGATACAAGAACCTGCAAAGAGCCTCCCACAAGAGCTCTCATACAAGCACCTCTCATACATGGCATCTGCGAGATCTTCATGCAAGGACCTCTTAGAGAGGAGATAAGGATGTGTGCAAGATCATGCAAGGACCTCTTTTAAGAGCAGGATCTTCACAAGATCTTCTCATACCGACCTGTACAAGATCATGCAAGGACTTCTGAGAAGATTTCATCAGCATCTTCAAGACCTTAAGACTGCACCATGAAACCCTTGCAAGATTGTCATAGAACCTTCCAGAGAACTCATAAGATCTTTTACCAGGATCTCAATGAGTCAGCTCAAAATTCGCACCGCGCCACAGCGAGAGCAATCTGACCCATACAAAGTGCTGAGAGGGTTGCGCGAGCGATCGCAGAATTCGCGCCGCAACGAGAGCGATTGACACACGCACAAAGTCACGAGAGGGTTGCGGGAGCACATATTACAGATTTTCACAAACCTTGCGCGCACCACGAAAAATTAACCTTGAAAAAGTAAAAAAAAAAACAGGTCTCAGCCACTTTTTTGTCGAGGTCTACAGAGTAATGCGCATGCCACGAAAAATGAGCCTGAGGCATCCGAAGTGCTGCACCTGCCACACAGATAATCATCATCATGTCCAAAATCAAATTCGACGACAATTTCACTTTTCACCGATTTTCGACCCTTTCAAAACGTCGTCCAAGTTCACACACAAATTGACCTCCAAAAGCACCTCTCGTTTTGACCCACGCCTGCCAACGTTTTAGCAACGTGCAGAAAGATCCCAGTTGGTACTACCCGGGAGGGTCCGGTCAGGGAAAATAGTCTTATTAATTTGATGGGTCTCAACCAATTCAAAATTAATATTCATGGGCCTTGACTTCCACTTATGGTGCAACTTGAAACAACTTTACCCCCCCTCTGATCTATGACCAAAAAAATATTGTCCTGTTCCCGGACATTTGGCTAACACCCCACTTCTACATCTTCAAGATTGAAACCCTGTGCCACAACCTATAGTGCAGAAATCTCATTTTTTCAAAATTAAAATGATCTGTAGCAACCTTTTTGCAAACTGTTTCCCCCTTCGTCAAAGTTGATCTGGTGTCCCTCAACCTTTAATAGATTTTCATTTCCCCCCGTCAAAATTGTTCCCCAAACAGTGTTCAGTCGGTAGGGCCCGGTGTTCAGTCGAGGTGGTATCATACGTGCGCTGGATTTTTTGATGACCCTTACAACACAAAAGTTCCCTCATCTTCCATTTTCGACGGAAGTCTCCCACCGCGCTTGAAACAGATAGCCTTTGCACAAGGATCTTGCACTGAGATCTTCACAAGGGGAACTTGCAGAATCTTGCCTGGCATCTCTTCTTCCAGAGACCACCTTGAATGAACACCATGCTATCACTACTAGGGTCGCTCTTGTCCTGCTAGCTTGCAGCCACTGATGATTTGAGGTCCTTTCCACCTTTCTCTTTAGAATCCTAACTACACACTGTTTGGGGTCTCTTGCCGGGATAATTCCCCAAACAGTGTGCTGCTAGAGGTTCTTAATGCTTTCTTTAGATGTCCGCCGTGGTGTTGGATGGTGCGTCCGCCTTCCCGAAGTCTTGTCTCCCGTTGTCTCCCTTCTTGTTTCCCTTTGTTGGATGGTGTGTCCGCCTTCCCGAGGTCTTGTCTCCCCTTGCCTTGCTTCTTGTTTCCCTCTGTTGGATGGTGAGTCCGCCTTCCCGAGGTCTTGTCTCCCCTTGTCTCCCATTGTCTCCCTTCTTGCTTTGTTGGATGGCGTGTCTGCCTTCCCTTCCGGATGCCTTGTCCCCCTTGTCTCCCCCTTGTCTCCCAGCTTGTCTCCCTTCTTGTTTCACTTTGTTGGATGGCGTGTCCGCCTTCCCACTCGTCTCCCATTGTCTCCTTGTTGCATGGTGTACCCGCCTTCCCGACCTTGTCTCCCTTGTCTCCCAGCTTGTCTCCCAGCTTGTCTCCCAGCTTGTCTCCCAGCTTGTCTCCCAGCTTGTCTTCCCGCTTGTCTCCCATCTTGTCTCCCAGCTTGTCTCCCAGCTTGTCTTCCCGCTTGTCCCCCAGCTTGTCTCCCACCTTGTCTCCCAGCTTGTCTCCCAGCTTGTCTTCCCGCTTGTCCCCCAGCTTGTCTCCCATCTTGTCTCACAGCTTGTCTCCCAGCTTGTCTTCCTTCTTGTCTCCCTTTCTTGGATGGTGTGTCCGCCTTCTCGAGGCCTTGTTGGGCTACGTTGGGCCGAGTCACACCATTTGGACCCATGTTGAGCCTATATAGTATTCCAATGTTGGACCCATATTCAGCCTATGTCGCTCTGGCGATGTTGGGCCTATATTGGGCTTTCTTGTCCGGCAACCGTTTTTAGTACTTGTTCAAAAGCATTGCCAAAATAAAATAAAACAATGGATTCTGGAGCAAGAATCACCTCTCCTGCAAGATCCCCACATGAGTAGGCGGAGTCCTCCTCAGAAGGTGGAGTCATCGTCGTTCGGAACTTTCCCCGCGGCGCTGGCTGTGGCACCACATGGGCATGAAGGATCTCAACGGTGTCCTCCCAAGCCAAGGGGCGATGCCCTGGAAAGTGATGGAAATCTTGGACTGGGATGCAACGTTTTCGTACATGACTGGGAAATGCATAATTAAGGATATCTATATCTCTATCTCTTTATATCTATAAATATATATATATATGTATATGTATATATATAACATATATGGTACCCCCTCCCCAACCCGCGGGGTCTACGTTTAATGTCATTTCCATGGTATTTACAGTGTCTTGTTGTTTTATGATCATTTTTGGGTCTTGCTTTTGAACTGTTGTTTTCCAATTGTTGTTGCCTTTGATGAAAGGGGGGGTTCTATATATATATATATCAAAAACTAAATATTATACCAGTAGTACCCGCACGAGGCGGGGCGGAAGTTGCCTTAGGGATATATAAGACCTTTCTCATCTATAGATATCTATAGAACTTACATGCGCCGTGCGCCAGCCAAGCCCGTGCGTGCCTGCATTCTGCGAAACATGTCACATTTGAAGCTCCACTTCGCCCTTCACACTTCTCACTGCACTCTTCACACTCCACACTTCACACTCCACACTTCACACTTCGTTCTGCACTCTTCGCACTCCACGCTTCACACTTCACACTCCACACTTCACAGTCCACACTTCTCACTTCTCACTGCTTTCTTCACACTCCACACTTCACACTTCACACTCCACACTTCACACTGCACTCTTCACGCCCCACACTTCACACTGCACTCTTCACACTCCACACTTCATCTCATCTGAGCTCTTCTCACCTTATCCCAGCTCATCTCTTCTCATCTCATGTCTTCTCATATGTCATCTAAGCTTTCATGAATCACTTCCCAGTATTACTACTAAGGAACTTGCATGCGCCGTGCGCCAGCCAGGCCCGTGCGTGCGTGCTTTGTGCGAAGCTGTTGCAGTGTTGTTGTCCAAGAACATGACCTGCGCGCGACCCCGGTGCAGTGCAACGCCAAGCAAACACTTTCCTCACACTTCACAATGCATCACACTTCACACTTGCACTTCCCACTCCACACTTCATCTCACCTCAAATCACGTGAGGTCTTCTCACCTCATCTCAGCTCTTCTCATCTCATCCCATCTCTCCTCACTTGTCATCTAAGTAAGTTCTTCTCAACTCTTAACGCGCTGATCTCACAGCTTGCACAGAGTACTCCCCAGTAGTACTTGAAGAAACACCTTTCACCTCATCTTACCTCTTCGTAACTCATCTCAAGTCTTCTGTATGCCAAATGCCAAAGGCCTAGACCATAATATATTCACAACATTGAGGTGATTAATGCCAAGCATTCATGCATTGCATCAAATCGCAACCGCAAGTGTAAACATGGTGTAGTTGTTATCTGTCAATCAGACTCACGCAGTCCAAGGTCAACAGCTGCTTTTTTTTCCGCGCTGCACTTGGTCTAGGGTTTGGCAGCTCTTTCGACCCGCACTGGCACGAAAGGCTGGACAGCTGGCACGAAAGGCTGGACAGCTTAATCCGCAAACACTTGTTGGCAGGCTGGTTGGCAGTCATGGCACTTCACGAAGCAAATCAGGCAAGAAGTTCTCACTATCCGCAATGACATTGCGGACCCAAGTTGCATCTGCTTGTGACAAACGACATTCTACACCCTCATCTGTCCTGGCAACGCAGCGCTGTTCTGCCAAAGCAGAAAAAAAGACGATTTTGAATCACTTAAAAAAAATAAAAGGAAATTTACTAGCCCCCAAATTGCGAAAATCTGCTGACAAATCGGCAATTCCAATACGATTTACGATCTTCAGCTGCGAAAAACAATGGTATTACGCATGCAGCCGCGGCACCGAGCAACTTTGACGCAGCCATTATTAATACAATGCCTTTCGAAGCATCACGTCGCAAACCTGCACGCATCTACGCACATGGCAACACCAGATGACAACAATCATGCAGCCATTCCAATGCGATCATTCAAGAAACGCATAGAACTACGCACACAGACACAACCATTCGTTGCAGAACACAGAACCTATCGCGTCCGGAACGACCGCAGCCGCAACCGCCGCACACACGAGGTACCTTTCATCGCCGGCTGCAATCACTTTACACGGAAAAACACAAGGTTTCGTGCTCCGGCTTCCTCCCCAACACAACCCCCATGCAACATTCATGCAGCCACTACAATGCATTTCGCAGCATCCGGTAGCAAGCCTGCATCTCTTTACAGACATGGCAACACCAGATGACAACAATCATGCAGCCATTCCAATGCGATCTGCAACCACAGATTGAAGAAACGCATAGAACTACGCACACAGACACAACCACTCGTTGCAGAACACAGAGAAGGAACCAATCGCGTCCGGAACGACCGCAGCCGCAACCGCCGCACACACGAGGTATATCATCGCCGGCTGCAGCCACTTTACACGGAAAAACGCAAGGTTTCCTGCACCGGCTTCCTCCCCAACACAACCCCCATGCAACATTCATGCAGCCATTACAATGCGTTTCGCAACATCCCGTAGCAAACCTGCATCTCTCTACACGCATGGCAACACCAGATGACAACAATCATGCAGCGATTCGAATGCGATCTGCAACCACAGATTCGAGAAACGCATAGAACTACGCACACAGACACAACCACTCGTTGCAGAACACAGAGAAGGAACCAATCGCGTCCGGAACGACCGCAGCCGCAACCGCCGCACACACGAGGTATATCATCGCCGGCTGCAGCCACTTTACACGGAAAAACACAAGGTTTCGTGCTCCGGCTTCCTCCCCAACACAACCCCCATGCAACATCCATGCAGCCATTACAATGCATTTCGCAGCATCCCGTAGCAAACCTGCATCTCTCTACACGCATGGCAACACCAGATGACAACAATCATGCAGCGATTCGAATGCGATCTGCAACCACAGATTCAAGAAACGCATAGAACTACGCACACACACACAACCACTCGTTGCAGAACACAGAGGAGGAACCGATCGCGTCCGGAACGACCGCAGCCGCAACCGCCGCACACACGAGGTACCTTTCATCGCCGGCTGCAATCACTTTACACGGAAACACACAAGGTTTCGTGCTCCGGCTTCCTCCCCAACACAACCCCCATGCAACATTCATGCAGCCATTACAATGCGTTTTGCAGCATTCCCTTCATCACCACCTTCCTTCGTCACCACTTCCCAAAGTCACCACCCTCCCTTAGTCACCACTTCCCAACGTCACCACTTCCCAACGTCACCACTTCCCATCGTCACCACTTCCCTTCCTCACCACTTCCCTTCCTCACCACTTCCCTTCGTCACCACTTCCCAAAGTCACCACCTTCCCTTTTAGTCACCACTTCCCAACGTCACCACTTCCCATCGTCACCACTTCCCTTCCTGCCCACTTCCCTTCCTCACCACTTCCCTTCGTCACCATTTCCCAAAGTCACCACCCTCCCTCAGTCACCACTTCCCAACGTCACCACTTCCCGTCGTCACCATTTCCCAAAGTCACCACTTCCCAAAGTCACCACCCTCCCTCAGTCACCACTTCCCAAAGTCACCACTTCCCTTCGTCACCACGTCACCGCCCTTCATCAATGTCAAGTCTCACAATTCGATTTGTCCGTAACACGGAAGTATTGCTTCCCAACTTGCTTTGATTATATATATATATATTGTATTATATATATATACATTCTATATGCATAATGTAAATAGTATCAAATATAAAATATATTATGTATTATATATTAAATAAATATGTATTTATATATATATACTATAAAATATATTGTGTAAATTGTATTATATTATATTATATTGTATTATATTATATTATAGTAAAAGATGTTATTTTAAATGATATTTGGTTATATTAAACTATGTTAAATAAAATAAAATTATGTTAAATTATTATTTATGTTAAATCATTTATTTTATATTATATGTATTATTATGTATGACAATTTATATCTTATATTTGATACGTTATGTGTTTAACTAAATTAAAACTTATTATCTATAGTAAATTATATTTTGTTATCTTGTATTATATTAAATCAAATTATAGTTTATTTTATTTTATCTTATTTTATTTTATGCTATTAAATTATATTATATTATGTTTTACAACATTTTTAAGTTATATTATATTACAATATAATATATTCATTTTTTTATATCATATTATGTTATATTATATTATATATTAAATTATATTATATTATATTACTTTATATTATATTATAATATTTTCTACTATATTCAAAAAAATATATTATATTATAATATACCATATTATATTATATTATTTTAGAGAAAAGAGGGGAACAACAAAGAAACAACCAAGTTGAACTCCTCAGCACCAAAATCAGCAAACGCCCTTTTTGCTATGGGCGCTTGAGCCATGTAGGTACGGAAGGCTACTATGACCAACCCTGCTGGAAGTTAGGGACGGTCAATTCCTACTCTACTACAGGGCTATTACTATATCTAACGCTTCTAGATATAGTTGGTTTCATAGCTACAGTGAGTAGTGAACTACAAGTAGACTATACAGTGGGGGTAATGGGGTCGTAATATTTCTACTCCCCCCTACCCAGTCCCACTCTGGGAAATGTCTTCCTACAAGGCTACTTAGGGCGCGAGGACGCAGCCCCTTCCTTGGATCTGAGTTCATTACTTAAATCGGTGCGAATGCCCAACAAGCAAGGTGCCAGAGCCCACTTTTGGGGTGGCAACGCCTTAGTAAAGATGTCTGCGGCTTCGCTGTCTGTTTGGCAATACCCAAGCTCGGCCTAATCGTCACGAAACACCTCTGAGAGGCCAGACAAGTCTACTTTGTGAGTGCGTGTTATATGCCTGAGCTTTGGGGAGCAACCTTTTCGGACTACTAGAATAGTAGCTTGGTGATCTTCCAAGACTCGGAGGGTCACAGTGCGTCCAAGGAGAAGCTCCCATAGCTGTAAAGCTGGTAAGCCCTCCTGGTAAAGGGAATGTGCCAATGACACCACCTCTGATTCGGTTCTAGAACGCGATGTGGACGTCTGGCGCTTGCTAACCCACGCAAGGGGAAAGAAGGAGTTAGGCCCGTATAAGACTAAGTACCCACCGGATGTGGATTTCCCGCTTGGACGATCACCGGCGAAATCGGCATCTACGTAAAAACGTAGTTCGAGATCTTCGGGATTATCTTTGATGGTAGTTACAAGCCGGTATTGGGGTGTAGAGTCTATATATTGGATGAGTCTTAACAACCTCTGATCATCCCCCCTGGACCAAGACTGCACTTTAGTCGCTAAATCGTTGATGGGCTTAATTATGTCAGGTCTAGACAGCCGACCAAGCCACAACGCCTTCATAAGAATGCGACACGCATTGGGAGCCAGCTCACCTTTTGCCTCTTCATCATCAACTGAGACAGAACCCTCGGGTGCAAAAGGGGTGGCTGCGCGTTTCAAACTTTTAGTGTTGGTGATGGACTTATAAAGGTCTACTGTTTGGTGTGCATAATCTAGCATGTCAAAGACTAAGGCTGCTTGTGCGCGAAACGCAGCACATTCCTCGGAACCTTCAGTTTTGGATAATGGCATTACTAGATGATTGCGACCTAAGATTCGGTATGTTGGTTCAGGTGGTTCAATACCCACAACCGATGTTAGCTTTGTCCAAAAAGGCTTCATGCAGATAGGAGGGTCCAGCTAATGTGAGGTCATCCACATAAGTGGAAAGTAACAACTTTGTGTCGGGGAAAAAGAAGTTACCTGGATATTCTGGCATCTCTTGACCTCCTAGGTTATGGATAATTTTCTTAAGGTGTTGCTCCCAGAGACCACCGGCGTCAGGATGGCCATACAAGGCTTTAACTAAGAGGACAACGGGTTTAACAAACTTATCTCGCCAATGTTTAGGTCTTAGCTCCGGCGGAAGTTCTATCCATGTCTTATATTTTGAGGACAGGAGTGCTTGAACATACGCTTTAACTGCATCAGCTGCAGAAGAGCTATGGCCTGGCAAGGAACCGTATGCTAAACAGGCGTTTAAACCCTGGACCGAAGTGGGGTTCGCTCCTAGTTCCTGATATACCGCCGCTGCACTGTGCTCATCTTTCGCGCAATCTCCACGGTAGACGATTCTACCCTTCATTTTGTGAAGATGTTGTGCGAGCTCAAAGAATTTGATGGAAGCGATGGTCATCAACTGTCCGAAGTGGACAGAGACCCCAGTGCGTTTCGCTTCTGCCCGGACCTCCTCTTTCTCACTGACCGAGTCGAGAGACCACGTCCCTGCCTTGATGAGCCCGTCAGCTTCCACTTTGACTGCTTCAAGTGCGAGGGGGTTTGACAACATCTCCGCCCTAGAGAGCAACTTCGTCACCATGGCTTGGACCTCGTGGTAGGGTCGAGTGTTATCTTCGGGCCCGAAGGCCTGTGACAACAAACGTTCATGGTCAAGGAGCTCTGCCACTAAACCGTTTACTTTTGGATCTGTTTCTACGGCAACTGCAGGATCCTCGAAAGCAGATAGTGCTTAAGATGTTGTTCAACCTCTCGGTGCTCTTGGGGTTCAGTAGAACGGGGTGTGCAAGGCATGGCGGGAGCATGCTGTTGTGCGCACTTAGCAGGGTACAGCGCTTGGGTGATCAAAATGTCATCTCTGGGGGATACATGGCTGATCGCGCCGTTTCCGAACCTTCACATTTTTCATGTTGATGCTCACAACTACACCTTTTATCTTTAAACGCATCTACTATTCTTTGGGATGTAATGTTTACACGCCAGGGCTTTTTGATGGGAAGGAATACCCTTTTTGGATCTCAGGCCCACTGCGCATCCATCGAATTCGACCTCCATAAACTCCGGGTGCGAATCAAAGACAGCTACGACATCTGGTCTCTTCCAGCCAATCGAGGGACGTGGCCATTCAAAAGAAACAGTGCCTCCTAGTTTCAAAACTCATTCAGCCCGTTTGGTGAAGCTTTTGAAGAGTCTTTTCGACTCACGGAGTTGGAGCGCTAATCTTTTCATAAAAGCAGCTCCTCCCTTCCTTCTATTAATATACTGCCAGAGGGGAACCAGATGTGCATGGTATGGACGACCAAAGATGAGGAGGTGCTACCTTAGCGGCTTCACTTATTTGGTAATCAAGTTGGGAACATTGATTTTCGTCACCCAGGTCTATCCTTTCCTTGCTTAACCCAATGTGATTTATATTGCATTGATCGCTAGCCAACCCAAGTTGTGAGTTGAGGGAACATGCAAACTCAAACAGTGTTGATCCCTCATTGGGCCTCTGGCTTTTCTTCAAGGCACGACGTTTTTGACGGTTGTTATTACTTTTAGGAGGCTGATTAACTGCGGGGCATGCAGGCATGGGCTGTGCACCGAACACTGGCAAGGAATCCCTACATAACTCAGCACAACTGGGAGATGTCTGGGGAAGAGTGGCAGCACCAGAAACATAAGGGAGAGCAACTGTAATTTCACCTTCATCATCGAAGATGCTGTCTACCGGAGGTGGGTCCACGCGGGCATCCTCAAGTGCATCTGGGATCTCACTGGGAGGCTCTACTACTACCGACTCGGACACAGGCTTAAACTTCTCTTCCAGCTCCTTTTCTTCATCTACAAGTTTCTGGAACCGCTTTCGGCACTCCACTGTGCGGTGTCGAGTCTTGTTTGTACATCCTTTACAACCAGGGGTTTCCTTAAACTTTATGATACGGTCTAAGGTGATATAAACCGATCTAGGTTTCGGGCCAGGTGAAGCAATGCCACCGTCCGGTGGGAACGGAACATTTTCCAGGGCTATTTCAGGGAGTTTAATTTAATGTCATCAGGATCATCCCCCCTGATCAAGGCTTGATGCTTTGAAAAACCAACTGGAAAGTATGCATCACCATCTGGAAGATACAATTCAGGCTCGGGAACATCAAAGACGCATGAAGCACCTCTGGTACGAAACTCTTGATAATCTAAAATCCGACCAACATATCTATAACGAAAACCAGAATCGATCCGCCAACCAAGAAACAAACCAGGAGCCATATTGGGTTCTAAGGTCCTCTTTGTTGGATGCTTCTTGCGATAGTACACTAGTTGACCAAAACACAAACGCTTACCATCGAACTTTTCACGTGTGAGAGCTTCCCATTGGGTCTTCTCGGGATCCGCAATAGAAGGTCTATCAAAAATCATGGAAAGACATGAGTATGGGTAACTATAAGTGTGGTATTCATATGGCAAACGAGATTGTAAATGAACCACCCTACAACACTCTTTCTCCTCCCTGATGTCGCGCTCCAGAAGAGCATTATGCGGCCAACGGTTGGGAAAGGACGTCTCAGGAACGAAGCCGACTTGGTGGGCAGCCTGCTCCAATTCCTGTGCTTCGTCCATTTTGATAAGTGTGTGGGTTGCAAGTTCATTGGCTTTTAGCCCTACGAAATGTCGGAAGTTTTTGGCATGGGACGCAACATCTCGCTTGGAAAGGGGATATGCTATTCGAGCACTAGAATAAAGGTCCCTTACCACATGGTGTGTTTTAACCCCACCTATTCCTGTGCCAAAATGCTCTGACCCTTTTGCAAGGATAACGTCATCAGTGGCCAACTGCTCAAAGGGCTGCTTTGGAGGGTCAATCTTGTCATCGGACTTACCGTCCTTAACATGAGAAACACGCATGGCAGTATCCTGACCAATGTGGCATAATGGGCAGTATGGATTCTTGGGATAGTGAGTCAGAAGATGCTCTAAGCTAGTGGCTTCCTTTTTCAAGACTTCATCTTTGATAGGGATACCATCGCCTAACTCTACAAGCAACTTATCATCTAAAGGGTGAGATGGCGCGCTATGAGCAGCACCTTCCGGAACACTTGCATGTGGGCTGCTGGGGGCAGGTGCATCATCTGGAGGAACGGCCTCAGCAACCTCAGCCATTCGTGCGACATCTTCACCAGCAAAACTTCTTAAATAATCCCGTTTTTTGTAACTAGTTATGTAGAGTTATATTAGCTATGTTGAGTTAACACCTAGTTAGCTAACTAGTTATAACTCTTGCTAACTATTTTTTTGGTATTGCTAATTTGCAAAAAAAAAAGCAATCCTGGCTCAAGAAAAATCCATCCTGGACCACAAAAAAAACAGAATCCTCTGTATGATTTATTGCAAAGTAGGAGATTCAATGCAAAACATGTCAATTTATTGGGAAAAACATGGTAGCCATGTGGTTTTAAGTTGTTGGCGCAGGCTTTCATATCTTCAGCTGTGTGGAAAAGGACAAGCACTGCACAATGCAGTGCCATTCAAAGGCTAGGAAGAAAGAATGGAAAGCAACAAAATGGTATGTAATGCCTTGGGCTGGTAGAATGCCACAGAGGCTGCTGTGATTGCAACGCCATATATGTAGGCAATGTAATGCCAAAGGGCTATCAAAAGAAAAGCAGCCATGCATGCAAACATGGCTGTAAGCACCTGTTGTTTTTTCTCCAGCCAACTAGAATTTGCTGTAAATCTGATAAGGCAAAAGCACTTTGGCTTCTTCTTGGTTATTGTGGCAAATGAGGGGCACCAAGATATCTGCAGTGGGCACAAATCCCAAGTTCTGGTCAAGCACAGTGCATGTGGCAAATTGCTGGTGTGGCACCCATTCCTTGACCTGCCAAGTCAAGCTCTGACTAATGTGGTCAAAGCTCCATGTAAAAGAAAATGTAATTGGATTTCTGAAACTTTCATGGTACCAGCTGTTTGGCAAACCACAACATCATCCTTGTGGCACTCAACATGGTTGATTCTGGCACATTGACTGCTCATGGCTTCTTCCATTTCTCCACCAATCAAGCTGGACAAAGTTTGCAAAGTTTTTTTGGAAGCTTTCACTGGGCGAGCCAAATGGACACCATCTTGGAAAATATCTGCTGTGTCCAAATGGCAGATCTCTTGGGCAAGGGCTTGCTCCAGCAAGTTGGCCTCAATTTTTTCTGGTTCAGGAGGGCTTGGGCCAGAGCCCCTATTGGTTTATGTTTCTTTCATTGGCAAAGCGGGAGGGAAGAAATCCAAATCTCTGGAGGGTGTCTGGCATGTGGAATTGCCAGTGCCACTTCTTGACCAAAGATATTTCAGGAAAGGCTTGGTGAAAAGTTTGGATGGCCTGTTCTACTGCTGGTAACAAAGTGGTTCTGGTGATGAGGCCAGATTGGTTTCCATCATGGACTTGGTCAATGAAAGCTGCCATTGCAAGAAAGGCTTGGCAAGCTTCAGGTTTATGACCTTTGGGCATTGCTACACTGTGGATGAAATGCCTGATGGTTGGGAACATGGCCAAACACTCAGAAACTTGGCAAGAAGGTTTTCCATTTTGCTTATGGCTGGTCATTTTTCTTGGCAAAGTAGCTGCCAATGTGTTGGCTTTTCCAACTCCTGGGAAAAACCCAATGGGCAAAATAGCCTTCTAGAAATTGGTACATGTGGAAGATCTCCTCCATGGCAGAAATGAAGTGAAAGGAGGACGATTGGACCAGTTCCCTGGAAGACTCCATGCATATAATCATGGGTGAACTGGGCGCAAGGCTGTAGCAGGTCCATGGCCTTCAAAGCTGGATCTAGCATAAGTGCCATGCTGCTGTGGTTCCAGCCAGTGGCTTGTTGCCACATATCAAAATCATGCTTGGTGGATGTTGCTTTTGCATCCAGCCGGGCATATGACTCAAGAACTTCGTCATCAGTGGTCAAGCTCAATTGATTGTATTGCAAGATATTGCAATGCGTTTGGTCTTCAGTGGTCCTACGCACAAAAAAAATGGAGCCACTATCTCCCTTGGATCGGGCAGCTCCATCTGCCAAGAGCATTCCAAAAGTGAAATGCAATCTGATGTCACCTTTCTCTGGGTGCTTGAGAAGGAAGCCTGTAGGTGGATGGACTAAGGGGTTGCAAAAAAATGCTTTCAAGAGGGTGGCTGTCATTTGGCTGACACCTGCTTCCACACTGGCCACATGGTTGCTTCTGGCCAGACCTGTGGTCAGCCAACTGTCTGTGGAATGCAAATGTTGGCCAAATCGCAGAAAGCTGCAGTACCAGTACCATGCCCAACTTTTTCTTTCTGCACGACCTAAAACATTACCTGGCACCAGTTCATCCAAGTACATCACCCGCCTCCATGGTTTGCTGGTTGAAGAAGGGCATGCTTCATGCCTGCTGGCCAATAGCTTCTGGAAACTGTTTCCTCTGGAAAACAGTGCTGATAGGTATGTGAGCAAACTGGTGAAAACAAAGGTTGATGGACTGCCATCAACTTGCTGTAGAGGTGCTTCTTGGATCAAAGGGCCTAAAGCACCCCCATGGCATGTCTTCAAAAGTTCTCTCCTGGCTTCCCTTTGGTGTTTGGAAGAACTGACTTCTGGGAGGCCACTGGATTTGGCCTCTTGAACCATAGCATGTAGGGCTGTCTGACTATGATATGGGAGAGATGCCTTGAACTGTTGAAGCTTGGCAAGCTTCTGTGGCCTGCTGGAGTCAGATGCCATGGCTTGGTCTTTCGATTGGTGGAAAATACTGCTGTGGCTGCAAAACATATGTTCAGTCATTGATAGAAATAGATTTCTACATATATACATGTGTGCACATTGCAAACACACAGTAAGCATAACAACACCAATGATATATTGCCAAGGTTTGACAATTGTGTGGTGAGTTGATAGCTTGGACACTTGGCTGCATTCAATGCTCATGTGAAATGATCCTATGGCCTTGCAGCAGGAATTTGAACCAAGAAGTTTCAAGGAGAAACCTGACCTGTGTGCCTTGGCCATACTAATGGTTTGCAACGGGAAACAAAACACATGCTGGGTCTTTGCCATTCTGCAATGCCACCAGGCAGAAAATACCATAACATGCCAAGATTTGACTTTGCCGATGCCACAATGGCTGCAACCACCAAGAAAATGGTGCAATGCCATGGTGGCCAGGTGGAAAGCTGCTACATGCAACTCCATGGTAAAGCTGCTACAATGAAATGCCAAAGCACATGACTGCTCTTGCAAACCTTTTTGACCAATGCCATCTGTCACCTTGGTTTGTGGCAGGGCCAAGCGCATTTGTGAACCCCATTGGCAAATCTCTTTGCTACCCCATACAAATGTCTATGGGCCCTTGGCCATTGGCTTCTCATTTCAGATTGCCACCCAAGGCCATCTTGTACTTGGCCCATTGGTCCCTGGACTTGAACCTGAGGCCTTTAAATCCTGGCTGGGTGCAAGTCTCACAGCCTTTGGTGTTCCCCTTGCACCTGACACAGCCAAATGGGCCTCTGGGGCCTGGTGTGCCATAATAGCCAAAGTCTTGGGGCTTGGCTTGGCCAGCTTTTGGGCCAGGCTTGGCAACTGCCTTGGACATAGTCTTGTGTACTTTTGGTGCAGCCTTCTTTTCTTTTGCCTTGGCGCCTGCTTTGGAAGCTGCTTTGGCCTTGCTTTTGGCACCAGCTCTTGCTTTGGCCAATGTGTTGAAAGCATCTTGCTCATACTTGGCCAAATCATTGGCCTGTGGTGTCTTCACCTGCCATGGCAGTGGCTGACAAGAACCTGGGATGAAATGCCATATATGGCAAACAATTATGATGCCCTAAGCCCTCAATCATCTATTCAGTAACAATATGGACTGTGTACATGCAATATGCAATTTCTGCCTCAGCTTGGTTTGAAGGCAAAGAACAAATATGACAAATTCCAGCCTCATTGGAAGTTTGGCTTTCTGGTTCTGTGGTTGCAGCAGCTGCTGTGGCTTCCTGACTTTGTGCAGTAGCAGCTGGAGTAACTTCTGCAGGTTGGGCAGGCTGTGGTGCATGTATAGCCAGCTGGCTCTGGGCATGGCTGCCTGCTGGTCCCTGGAAATATGTGATCTGGGGCTCATGTGGTGCAAATCTGTCCAGCAGCTGGCTAAGCAAGCCAAAGACTTTGGCTTCTCCATTGGTGGTAGGCAAGGGCTGTGCAGCATGGTTGGAAGAAGCTTGGCTTTCCTGCAGAAGTTTGTTTCCTTTTCTGCAAATCACCTTGGCTCACCAAAGTGGGGCTTGTAGTCAAACAGTGCCAAAACTAGAAATTTCAATGCAATCAAGTCACCATGCTCTTCCAGCCACCAGCAATGGACACCATGGCTGGCTCATCTGCACCATAGACTTGTCTAGCCATGCCTTTCCAAGTTCAGCTGGCTTGGCTGGGTATCTGTTCACACTTGGCACTGTGCCTGGTGGAGTCTTGGCAAACACAGCAGAAAACTCTTCCACCAAGGCATACCTGGTCTGTGGTGATGGCTGTGGTTGATGCCCTTTGTGGGTCAAACAAAAGCACACCACAGACATGGCTTCCACCTTGGCAGCTTCCTTCAGGGAAACAAACTTCATGGATCTCAGCCTGGAGGCAGTAATGGACATGGTATGCACTGTGTTGGCTGGTGCTTGGTCCATCCTGGCCCAATCCTCTTTGGACACATAGTGGCTAAAGCCTTCAATGTGCTGGCCTGCAATGACTGTCTTCAAGTGGCCAGTGCCAGCCAAGTCTATTTGGTCAATGGCATTTTGGATGGTCTTCTTCAAATCATTGGGCAAGCTGGCTTGGTCAAGCTTCTCCAGGACTTGGATGATGGTGGTGCTTGTCCATTCCCTGGATGCTTGCAACTTGGCACACAAGGATGTGGCCAGTGTCTGCACCAACTTGCTTTCTGGGTGGCTATGGGCACGCTTTTCCAAATGGTCTAGCTCCTGGACATAATCTTCAGCTTTCCAAAGTTGAGTCATCCCTGGCTCTCAGAAGCACTGGTAAACTTGGGCTGCTGGCTGGTGCTTGAACTGAAAGAACAAAAACATACAGGGATTAGGGTGGCCTGTGGAAACAGTGTGCATGTGATCCATGAAGAAATGGTGCTGAATTCTGACACTGGTTGTAGGCGCAAGGTGTTCTTAGGAGAATTTAATGCCATAAGGTTGGCACATGCAACTTGGGAATGATAGCAACAAACCAAAGAGGGAACCAATCTTATATATGGGGCATGTACCGGCATGCTATATCGGAAAGAAGCAATGCTGACGGTATCCTGGACTGGCCTGCAGCCATTCAAAGAAGCAACCATGGCAAACAACTGGATGACATTACCCTAGGAAATGCCATGAGTGGCTGATTGTGAAATGCCACCAATGGCAGAGTAGCATCAAACTTAATCACTTGCTTGAATTGCGACATGGCCAAGGTTCGAAATGCCATTGTGGGCTGACAGCATGTAATGCCATGGAAGGCTTCAGGTGGCTGACACATGTAATGCCACACAGGCTGGCAAGCACACTCTTTTTTGGTTGCATGCTTGGAAGTGGTCTCTACTGGTTCCTTGCCCAGCCTGGCTGCCTTGGATCATACCCTTGGTTCTCCATGGCCTCCTGGTGGTTGGCTATCTGAGCCCTCACAGTGGAATCCAAATCCACCATTCATGGAGTTCCTGCAGCTTTCACCATTTGCGCTGGTGGTAGTTTTGGAGCCTGCCTGGGTTACCACTGCTGGAAGCCATGTGGTTGTTCAGCTGGTCCCACAAGATTAGAACTTGGGCTTCCATACCATGGTTCTCATACATGGCCAGCATCCACACCATCTTGGCCCTCCAACCTGTTTGGTGGCTGCACCTGGCCTGGAAGTTCTTGGTGGTATGGCTGGCTCTGGTGGCCTGCTGGAACCATCTGGTCTGGATCCTGATGCTGCTGCATCAGATGTGGCTGGCATGGCATTGATTTGCTGGACTGGCACCACTGCCTTTGGTTCCTACTTTGTTGCAGATGCCTTGGCAGTGGTGCTGCTGGATTTGGCTTCTGCAGTTGCCTTGGGAATGGAGATGCTAGATGCTTCTGCTGCACCTGCTGTGGGGATGGTGCTGCTGGATACATCTGCATCCTGGTTCCATGCTCCGACGCCAAGAGACCTCGATCTAGGGCAGACTGAAGTAGAAAGCCAAGGCGAACTGCAACCAAAATTCCATGCTTCCTCCCCAAAAGAGTCGCACCGTCGGCCTTCTTGAAACCGGCCACACCTTCCTCCTCCACAGGCAACTCCAGTACAGACAGGTACATCGGACCTGCATCCAGAATCTTGAGGGCCAAATCCTCCATCTTCAGATCTCGGCCGGAACAGCAATGCCAGCGGCCAGGCAGTAGATCCTTGCTTCAGCTTTGCTAGGCCACGAGTGCGACAAGCTGCACTCGGTGAACCTGGGGAGCACGCGGTAGTACTCCGCTGCAGAGAACTGCTCCCAGGCTCGCTGAACTCGCTCCTCCTTGTCTCTGCCCAACTTTGAATCGAAGCCAACTCAAAACAGTGAGCAGGAGCCTTAGTGAGCAACTGAGCAACCTGATCGAAGGATTAGTTTTCGGAGACCGTGGCTGCTTCGGTGACCACGTCCCACTCTGAAGGCCCAGGAGCCCTAAGCAGAGGAGCACGGACAGAACCGTGGCTGGAAAGTCCAAGTGCTGACTCAAGAGAGTCAGCTATGCCTCAAGGCAACAATCGCAGCTTTAATGGCCCCTGTCAGGTGAGAAGCGGGCTCGCTCATGCAAGTAGGCCACGAGTCGACCAGAAGGGGAAGGCACAGGCGCAGGGCGAGGAGCAGGCACAGAACAGGACGGAGTCCAAAAGTGGAAAGTCCAAGCCAAGACCAGCAGTGCACCAAGACCAAACCCAGCAACGAAAATCGCAAGGGCAAAAGTCCAAGAGAAGGTGCAATGGGAAGGACAGGCAAGACCGAACCACCCGGAGGAAGAGCCTGCAAGGAGAAACCTCGTGGCCTCAACTACAAAAGGATGCATGCGTCTTGAGCGCCAACCGTTCGAACATTCGATTCAGAGTCGTCCATCATACTACAAATAATCCATGATCACCCAACATCATCAAGAGCATCCCACTGAATCTTGATCCATATCAATAACGCGTCACCCTGCATCAATAGCAGGGACGGTGCAAGGCTTCCCCGAAATCATTTTTTTTTCCGACAGAAGCCTAGCATTGTGTTGGCGCCTTGTGGGCTTATTCTAGAAAACTGCAATCTTGAAAAAATGCACCATGTAATGCAAAAGAAACAAATCAAAAATGCAAAAAATGCAATTGTTCTCCATTTGTCACCTGTGCCTCTTTCCACGTTGTCTTCATTTGATACCGTGTCCTCTCTCAGACTTACATTGTTCAATATATTTTTTCGCAATTGTTATTTTCGCCTTTCTCAAACTTGCATTTTTCAATTCCATTTTTTTTGCAATTGTCATCTTTGCCTTTCTCAAACTTGCATTGTTCAATCCCATTTTTTTTGCAATTGTCATTTTTGACTTTCTCAAACTGGCATTTTTCATTTCCATTTTTTTGCATTTGTCATTTTTGCCTTTCTTTGAGTTGCATTTTTTCAATCCCATTGTTGGCATTGTTTCTGCATTTTTTCAAGCTGAAAATATTCTAGAACAAGCGCGATTTGACATCACAAGCCTAGCAACCGCATCCTTTGTTGCTACGGGTGAACCTCCACCGCACACCCGTTCTTGCGGAAGAAGATTTTCACCCTTTTGGTTGCAAACATACACTCTGAGACTGCACCTCTTCAGTAGTAAAACTGCTGAGAACTTGCAGAGCGTTGCGGCTTGTTTGGCATCCATCAAACACCACCTTGGCCAGTACGGCCGCCGGGTCAGCTAAGGAATGAAACTTCCAAGAAAACACAATAGGCTCCGCCACAAAACATGCTTTCGACATTTGGAAACCCGTGAAGCACATGTTAGGCATTGTTGAGCTACATCCAAACACTAACTAAGCGATGATGCGGGGATTCCGAAGAGGTCACAGGCATCCAAGGCATCCAAGGTGCCGTGTACTTCAGCCCCCGCGCTTGCGTTGGCGCCCAGTCTTTCAACGGGCAAACAAGGATACGGGTATGGGCGAAGCCTTAGACGACCGCAACTGTTTTAATATTAACATGCATCCCCCCGCTGCAAAGTAACAGGCCTGTACTTCCCCGGCCCACATGATACCACAACTGTTTTGATATTCTCACTCACTGTATCAAGCAATGTATCAATGCATGTATGTATGTCTGTCTGTCTGTCTGTCTGTCTGTCTGTATGTATGTATGTATGTGTATGTATGTATGTGTATGTATGTATGTGTATGTATGTATGTGTCTGTATGTATGTGTCTGTATGTATGTGTCTGTATGTATGTGTCTGTATGTATGTGTCTGTATGTATGTGTCTGTATGTATGTGTCTGTATGTCTGTATGTCTGTATGTCTGTCTGTCTGTATGTCTGTCTGTCTGTCTGTCTGTCTGTATGTATGTATGTATGTATGGGATGCATGGCATGGCATGGCATGGCATGGCATGGCATGGCACAGCACGGCACGGCACGGCATGGCATGGAGGTAGGTAGGTAGGTAGGTAGGTAGGTAGGCAGGCAGGGTAGGTAGGTTGGTGTGGTGTGGTGTGGTGTGGTGTGGAATCGTTTTGTTTTGTTATGTGATGTTATGTTATGTACTGGATGTAAAAAATATGTAAATGATGTAGAGGATGTAAAGGGTGTACTGTATGTGATGTATGTAATGTATATGATGCATGTCATGTCATGTCATGTCAAGTGGATGTACATGTAAAACGTAAATGTAAATATAAGATGTAGATGTAAACCTAATGTACTGTAATGCAACGTAATGAAATGTAATATAGTGCTAGGTAAATGTAAATGTAAGTATGCATGCGAATCTAATGTAAATGTAATGTAAATCTAATGTAAATGTAATCTAAATGTAATGTAAATCCAATGTAAATGTAATGTAAATGTAATGCAAATGTAATCTAAATGTAATGTAAATCTAATGTAAATGTAATGTAAATGTAATGTAAATGTAATCTAAATGTAATGTAAATCCAATGTAAATCCAATGTAAATGTAATGTAAATGTAATGTAAATGTAATGTAAATGTAATGTAAATGTAATGTAAATGTAATGTAAATGTAATGTAAATGTAATGTAAATGTAATGTAATTAGTCTAATGCATTCATGAATGTATGGATGGCTGCATGCATGCATGCATGTACGCGCAGGCTGAGACTGCCTGCACCTCTCAAACTTGCTCAGGAATTTGAACACTGACTTGCGTCTACAGTCTAAGTTTGTTGCAACCAATGATTTCAACTATTCTCAATACCGCGGCCCCTATCCCTACGAATACAGGGGATTCTATTCGCCAGTGCAAACTCTTGCAGAAATCATCTACGTAAATAAACCGACGCATCAATCTGCATCAGCACATACTCATTGTCATGTTAGATTATGTTAGGTAATTTTGTTCAAAGGATGCGTGGCCGCACCTTCAGAAACTTTGCCGTAGTATTGGATCCGTTCAATTTGGGGTGGATAAACTAATCATCCAAACGACACCTTCCCCCCCTGATGTCCGAGGGTCTCTGCATCAAATAACTCGCCAGGGACTTGTGCAGCACCCTGCCTTGGCCATGCGAACCCAACGCCACAAAGTCAGCACTCTTCTCACCCACGAAGCGAGTGACGGCCGCACCAGGGGACATCCTGGTGGGCTGGGGGGTACCATGGGCATCAAGCCACCCATTTCGGGGTTCCAATGGTTGTGATGAGGACCGCACACACAGATGGGCATATTTCATGATTGGGCAATCGAAATAATAAAGTATTGAAAAAAACATGAGGTAACTTGGATGAAAATGAGCGCAACAATTTTTTTTGGGACGCGAGGCCAAAGACCTGCTTGGGGCGCTGTGAGAGACTGGCTTTGGCGCAATGACCGCACTGCTTTGGAACTAGACGACGAATGGCCCGAGAGCGTAGAGGAGCAGGGTCTTCTGTTGTTAGTATTGAGACACTATATGACAAGACAATATATTAAAGATCTAATATAGGCAGACGAGAAGAGTAGTATCAAGACAGTATTTTACAAATACAACACAATAGTTTGCATCGTATCCTTCGTAAAGTTTTTCACACACGCAGACACTTTCACACACAGGGACTTTTACACACAGACGCTTTTACACACAGAAGTTTTTACACACAGAGACTTTTACACACAGACGCTTTCACACACAGAGAATTTACACACAGACGCTTTTACACACAGACGTTTTTACACAAAGACATTTTTACACACAGACACTTTCACACACAAACACTTTTACACACTGACACTTTTACACACAGAAGCTTTTACACACAGACACTTTTACGCACACTAGACAAAATCGGATCTTTGAAAAGATCCATCAGGAACTGAGTCCTGTAACATGCAACCAGCCTAGACAATTAGACCTAAAGTAGATCCCGTAGTCGTACTTCGCGAGAACGATGAAGGTTTTCCGAAAATATCAAACGTAGACCAAACCAGAATACAAACGTCAAATAACTCGTCCTGACATCCAAAATCAGATAGCGGCGACCGTGTAAAATCATGTAAAATAGGTTATGTGGAAACGGCATGGTGGTTCTCGGGTTAGCCACGTCCCATTGCAGAAAAAATTGACATGAAAAAACGAAGCAGGTACGTCGGGATGATCAGTCCCGATATCACAATCTCAAACCACCGTCTTCGTTGGGCAGTGGATGGAATGAGATTTACTGCCCCCCTGCTGTATTAGAAGGAGAGAGGAAAAAGGAAAGAAAGAAGAAGTTTTACATCTATTTAGATGTTACACACACACAGACACACACACACACACCCGGCCAGAGCCGGGTCAACCCTGAAAGGCAAGAGGAAGAAAAAAACGGACACAGACGACGGGCAAAAGGCCAAAACAGCGCAGGGGGGGGAAAGGAACGAACGGTCCTCCAGAACCAACCTACGCGGCGAAACGGACCTGACAGAAACAGAGCACACACCTAAACCCCACGACACATTGGAGAAGAATTAGGGACCGAATGGGGGACTAGTTGGTGACAAGCGTGAAAAAACCTAAACAATTAACCTAAAAAGGACCCAGTTCCACCTACAACAGAAGTCGTGCGCTACTCCCCTTCGGGACCGTAGTCAAGTCGTGCCGCAATTGCATAAACGGCTGTTCAAGTTCCATCGAATTAGATGCACAATATGTTTAACCTCACCAGACACCATCAAAAGGAAAATAGTACCAAACCTGAACGCATGGACCTGCCTCTTTGGTGACTTCACTTCTGTTGCAACAATTTGTCAAAAGCTGAAGCTGCAGCGGTAAAGAAGAAGGTTTTGGCTGTTCGAGACGGCATCACTGTCGTAGAAGTGTGTTTCTCAAGGTTCCACTAGGGACCGCAGGAACGGCGGGACATCGCAAAATGGTGCATAACCGAAAGGCCAACTGTTTCGCTTTACTTAGATGAATAAGTGTAAATTCGGAAGTCAAATTGGCCAACAGTCACCCACAACGGGGTTGCCTCAATTGGCTCCATGGCACCATGTCGGAGCCACCATGGATATTACACTAGACAAAATTGGATCTTTGAAGAGATCCATCAGGACTGAGTCCTGTAACATGCAACCAGCCTAGACAATTAGACCTAAAGTAGATCCCGTAGTCGTACTTCGCGAGAACGATGAAGGCTTTCCGAAAATATCAATTTAAAAGTAGACCAAACCAGAATACAAACGTCAAATAACTCGTCCTGACATCCAAAATCAGATAGCGGCGACCGTGCAAAATCATGTAAAATAGGTTATGTGGAAACGGCATGGTGGTTCTCGGTTAGCCACGTCCCATTGCAGAAAAAATTGGCATGAAAAACGAAGCAGGTACATCGGGATGATCAGTCCCGATATCACAATCTCAAACCACCCTCTTCGTTGGGCAGTGGATGGTCTGAGATTCACTGCCCCCCTGCTGTTTAGAAGGAGAGAGGCAAAAGGAAAAAAAGAACAACTTTTACATCTATTTAGATGTTACACACTAGATAAGAATGGATCATTATAGTGATCCGTCAGGAACTGAGTCCTGTAACATGCAACTAGATTAGTTACTTATATAAGGATGAATACATATAAATATATATATAAATATATATATATATAGGACTACGGTGGCCACCAGCTCCGACTTAAATGCGCCCAGGTGCACCACCGAAGTCCTGCGGGTACGTTTACACGGGTCCCGGGGAGGTGTCTTCATTGGTCACCGACCCCCCCGGGACCCCGGTGACCCCCCGCATATAGATATATATATATATATTATATAATTATATATATATATAGAGATATATATATATATAGTAAAATAGAAGTTTTACAGTTTTACATCTGTACAGATGTGTTACACACACACACACACTGCCTTTGGCAGGGTGGTGCCACGGAAGATGAGGTGAAGATGAGGATGAGAGGGGAGTGAAGGTGAGATGACCATGAAGATGAGATGAAGAATTACTTAACCAGGACGCGAAGAGGGGAACGCAAAAGAAGAAGGAGAGAACACCAACACGACACACCTGGCCCGGAGCGGGCAAACCCTGAAAGGGCAAGGGAAAAGAAAAGCGGAGGGTCGACGGACACGGAACAAGACCAGCGGAGGGGGGGGAGGACGAAAGCGCCTGAACCAACCTAACACAGCGAGAACCTACACACACCTCAGCACGCGACGGAACCGACCTACCTGGGGAGGGAAGAACGCATGAGATAGGGGACCAATGGGGACTAGTTGGTGCAACCACAAAAAAGAAAAACAAGACTCAGTTCCTAGATACCTAGAGGTCGTGCGTTGTTCCCTTGCTGGGACCGTGGTCAAGTCTTGCCCCAATTAGCATAAACGGCTTTCAAGTTCCATCGAATTAGGTGCACAAAATGTTTGACCTCACCAGACAACCATCAAAAGAAAGAATCACCACACCTGAAAGTCGCGTGCCTGCCTGGGATGTTGTTCATGCGACATGATTCTGTCTCTGATCAAAAGCTGAAACTGCAGGAAAAACGGAGTTTCTGAATGTTCAGCACGGCTTCACGCAGTAGAGAAACTTGTCCCAAGGATTTCAAGGGACAGCCGGATCGGCAGGACTTCACCAAAAAATGGCAGAAAACCGCAAGGCCAACTGTTGCACTTTACTTAGACGAATTACTAGATTAAAATGTGTAAATTCGGAAGACAGGTCAGTCGACAGTCACCCTAAACAGGGTTGCCTCACTTGGCCCTATGGCACCATGTCGGAGTCACCATAGGAATCACATGAGATAAGAATGGATCATTATAGTGATCCGTCAGGAACTGAGTCCTGTAACATGCAACTAGATTAGTTACTTATATAAGGATGAATACATATAAATATATATATAAATATATATATATATAGGACTACGGTGGCCACCAGCTCCGACTTAAATGCGCCCAGGTGCACCACCGAAGTCCTGCGGGTACGTTTACACGGGTCCCGGGGAGGTGTCTTCATTGGTCACCGACCCCCCCGGGACCCCGGTGACCCCCCGCATATAGATATATATATATATTATATATATATATATAAAGTAATAGAAGTTTTACATCTGTACACTGTACAGATGTGTCACACACACACACACACGCTTACGCTTTTAGGCAGAAGCTTTTACACACAGAAGCTTTTACACGCAGACCCTTTTACACACAGATGCTTTTACACATAGAAGCTTTTTTGCACAGACGCTTTTACACACAGACACTTTTACACACAGACACTTTTACACATAGAAGCTTTTTTTACACACAGAGACTTTTACACACAGCGACTTTTACACACAGAGACTTTTACACACAGCGACTTTTACACACAGACACTTTTACACACAGAGACTTTTACACACAGACACACACTTTTACACAGAAGCTCTTACACACAGAAGCTTTTAAAAGCAGAGGCTTTTACACAGAGACGCTTTTACACACAGACGCTTTTACACACAGAAGCTTTCACACACAGAGACTTTTACACACAGAAGCTTTTACACAAAGAAGCTTTTACACACAGACACTTTTACACACAGACACTTTTACACACAGAAGCTTTTACACACAGAGACTTTACACACAGACACTTTTACACACAGACACTTTTACACACAGAAGCTTTTACACACAAACACTTTCACACACAGAGACTTTTACACACAGAAGCTTTTACACACAAAAGCTTTTGAAGACAGAGACTTTTACACACAGAAGATTTTACACACTGAGACTTTTACACACAGATGCTTTTACACATAGAAGCTTTTTTGCACAGACGCTTTTACACACAAACGTTTTCACACACAGACACTTTTACACACAGAAGCTTTTACACACAGAGACTTTTACACTCAGACACTTTTACACACAGACGCTTTTACACAAAGGCACATTTACACACAGACACTTTTACACATAGAAGCTTTTACACACAGACGCTTTCACACACAGAGACTTTTGCACACAGAAGCTTTTACACACAGAAGCTTTTACACACAGACGCTTTTACACACAGACACTTTTACACACAGAAGCTTTTGCACACAGAGACTTTTACACACAGAAGCTTTTACACACAGACACTTTTACACACAGAAGCTTTTACACACAAACACTTTCAC